ATTCTTCTGACCCCATGCCTGACAGCTGTCCTAAGTCTCACGATTCCAAGCGTGCACTGAGAGCCCCCAGCGTCAGCACCCCTGCTCCCAGGTAGTGCAGAGACCTGGCCCTCGCTGAGACTCAGTGCACCAGGGTTCGCGTGGTACAGGGTCCGGCGAGGCGTGTGTGGCACCCCTGGAAGGACCCTGCTCTAGCTCCTCACTACCCTTGAGTGCGTTTCCCTGAAGTGCTCCCCTGCAGGGCATCCCGAGGCCCTCACTGCTGAGGTGTCTGGACTGATTCCCCCTTTCTTAAACACACTGAATTCCCCTTGAGCCCTACCCGCCACCCTCCTCCCCTCTGACAAGTTACCTTTTCAGTGTCTTCCGTTAGAATCCGTTATGAAGCCCCTCGTGTAAACAACATCTTGGGAGGGACGAGGATCTATTTTTGAAAGTGTGAAAGGGAGAAATGAGCCAAATGCATTCAGTGTTGTCAGGCCATGACCACGAGCGAATGAGGGGTGGGGTGGGGCACGCCGTGGGCAAGGAGAGGGGGCTCCCTCGCTCTCGTCATCGGTTTTCTCTCAAGCCCAGCCCTCCCTCTAGAAGAGGCACTCGGGACCAATCCTGCAGAGGCAGGCCATTTGCTGTCTACCTCTCCTAGGAGGGGATGTTTCTGGAGAAAGTTTCGGGGCTACTTCACCTCCGACAGCAGTCAAAAGTCCTGGACTTGGATGATCAGTGCAACCCAAGAGGCGAAGCACTACACGACTCGTGTCTCAAGGCGAAGCACTACACAACTCGTGTCTCAATCCTTGGTGTTGTGTCTTCGCCCTACAGTTTGTCTGCGGGAAATAGCTCTGAGCCGAGCAGTGGGAACGTGTGACCCTCCGCTGGCCCCGGGCAGGTGAAGCGGACACCTGCTAGGACAGCAGTGTCTGTGCCAGGTGTGCTCTGCTCTCTGGGACTCAGTGTCTGCCCGACATCACCCGCTCCAATGTGCTCAGGCAATGAATGAGTCCTGGAGTGTTGTAACCAGAGTCACCTCCGGTTCCAGTTTACAGGGAAATCCCGGCTTAGCCCTGTCCTGGCGTCATTATGAATAGCCCTTCCTTTTCACTCTCGAAAAACCCCAGTTTACATGATAAACTGCATCGCACCACTCTGACACAGAAGACACCCCGAGGACGATGCACTGGCTATTTCTCAGCCATCATGCTAACCATAAGCAAGTAACTGCTTTAGAATCTTGGCTCCTCCTTCTTCTCCCGGGGAGAGTCGTGGGAGCAGCCAACTGTCCTCTCTGGCTAAACTGTCTGCTCACCGTCCCTGAATCACATGGCCCAGCCACATCTGCCATCTCCATGCGATGCTCACACATCCCAGAATGTGGACCTCAGCTGCAGGCATGCTTCACTGCCCTGGGACAGACCTTGAATCAAAAAGGAATGTGCAGGGACCAGCAGTTAGCATAATGACTATGTCGCTGGACTCCCACATAGTCGACTGTGGTTCGAGTCTCGGACCGGGTGGCTTAAACTCATGCTGGGTGTGTGTGCGTGCTGCCCAAGATCCCAAGAGTTGAATGGAGGAGGACAGATTGTGGCATGGCCATCTCCCCTGGGGGGTGATTTCTCACTTTCTGTCTCTCTGTCTCTCTGTCTTTCTGGCGTGTGCACGCGCACTGTAGCAAAAATCTCTCCCCCTAAAAAAGAAAAGGCATGTGCAGATGGTTTCCCACCTTAGACTTCACTATTTCCACTATAATGCAAGGTTTAATGTGAAGGAAAATATGGTCATTGGTCCAATATTCTGTACAGAAGCAGATCACAAGCGCTAGCTCTGACTGCTTGCCGAAGACTTCATCTCCGGCAGATAGATGCTCAGTGTCTTCTTTGCAATCACAAGGACAGGCTCCCACACGGGGGTGTTCCAAGGGTTAACCCAGGGAAGTGCCTTTTCAGAAAGCCACGTGTGAGACAACTAACTTGACATCATAGTACCAACAGGAATAGCAAGGTATTTTTCCTTACCACAGAAATCTATCATTTTCTTTGCTTTTCATCACTTGTGTTTTTTTCCTCTAATATCCTTAACAATAGTTGTATTTCCTACCAAGCTTCAAGGTGTAAAATCATAACATATTTTGCCTCTAAACATAACAGAAAAATCTCCAAGAAACATAATAACTTTTTGTCTTTTTAGAACTAATCCAAAAAATAAACATTTCATCAACATTGGGTGAAAAAAAATTATTATTAGTTAAATTACAGTGTTAAACCATCATGTTTCTGCTTATATCTGGAGATAAATTTATTCTTCATATATAATATGAACAATCAGATTCTATGATACTGTTTTAATTCATTTTACAAACTGTGTATGTAAGAGAGAAATGATATAAAAACATACCATGAAGTTAATAGAAAGTACTAGGTTATATGATTTTAAGTGAAAAGAGCAGAATACAAAATAATATGTACACTAAGACTACACCTATATAAAATATTGAACTCTATCACAAAAATAAACTAGTTATGTAACTATGGTAGGGATTATAGGTGTTTTTGAAAATGTATCTAGTATTACTCCATCATCTTTTCAATTAAAATAGAGCATTTCTCAAAAAGGCACACATGAACTGCCATGTTAATCATTTCCGCTGGAAGCCCACATACAAGCGCACGGGACACAGACACAGAGGCTTGTCTTGTACAGAGGTCCAGACCTGCTAACCCGCATTCATCCAAGGCTGGTTTCATCTGCACCCATCCACAGCGAGGACCACACGCAGCCCAGATTGTCTCTAGCTGCTGTTTAAGGTTCCTAACGAGGACCCAGGCAGAAAGGAGCCATACTTCCTGCTCGTGACCAAATGAGAAATCTTGAAGCATCAACTCTGAACCATGTCTATTTTCCAAGCCATTTCAGGGTTTACGGACAACCAGGATTTATAAGGAAAACAAAGCAGTTGCCACTGAGTTGAAGTATTAAAGAATGCGTGGTTGCCCAATTGCTCTCCAAAATGCGATTTAGTAAATCCTATGGGAGAAGAGTCTACATTTTCAAGAAAGGCACAGATACAGCTAATCTTTCTAACTCAGCTTACCAAGTCTGACAGCCATGGAGGCCCACAATAGGCCTTCCTATACATGGGGTCTCCATGTCCTACAACCAAAGAATTCGAGCTAATTCCCCAACAGGGAACAGAAGAACAATTTCTAAATATATTTATGGTGTTTCTCTCAGGAAACTGATTTGGAACAGGAAGAACAGCGAAGTGAGTTTTGTTTGTTTGTTTGTTTGTTTGTTTGCTTTGATTATAGCTATCAGCATTTAAAAATTATTTGCTTCTCATGAATGTGGTATTTCACAAGGACAATTCAAGTTCAGCTGGGACATAATTTCCTGTGATTATTTAAAAATCTCTCTTTAAGGAGCCAGCAGGTGGCATAGTGGTTAAGGTACTGAACTCCTACATGGTTGACCATGGTTTGAGTCCCAGACCTGGTGGCTTGAAAGTCACACTGGGTGTGTGTGTGTGTGCGTCCGAAATCCCAGGAGAAGAATGGAAGAGAAGGCATTATGGTGTGGCCATCCCCCTGGGCGGTGATTTCTCACTTTCCTTCTCACTGTCTCTCTGTCTCTATCTCTCAAGCGAGAGCATGCACCCTAAGGCAAAAAACAAAAACAAAACAAAACAAAAAACCATCTTTAACCCAGTAATTAGCCTCCACAATAAAAAGGTAAACAACTGCATAATCACTGAACTTGTGAAGGCTTTTTTTCTCCACTGAAATGAGCCAGAGAGAACATGTGGCAAGTTTGACCTTGCACGTGGGCCAAGGTGCACGGGAAGGGCACCATCACAGATCACAGCACGCCAAGCGCTCACCTCCACTTCCTCCTGGCCTTAACCTGCTTCTCCTGAACAGCCTCCTAAAGGGAGGCAGAAAGCCTCTCCATGAGACTGAAATAGCACTCTGCCCTTTGCATCTTTTTTTTTTGGAGAGGTTTTCACTATAGGGCACATGCAGCGCCAGACAGACAGAGACAGACATAGAGACAGAAAGCGAGAAATCACCCCCCAGGGGGGATGGTCACGCCGCAATCCCTTCTCCTCCATTCTCCTCTCGGGATCTTGGGCACGCACGCACATGCGCCTGGCGTGAGTTTTAAGCCACCAGGCCTGGGACGCAAACCGTGGTCGACTACGTGGGAATCCAGTGACATAGCCATTATGCTAACTGCTGGTTCCCTGCCCTTTGCATCTTCAAAATTGCTCACCTTTGTCATAGAAGAGCTGAGTGTAAATTACGTTCTTTGTTTATTTAAAAGGAACACACACACAATAAACTCCCAAAGAAACTTCCAGACAAGTAGGTAAGAGTCAGCAATAGACTACGAAGACATTAGGGATGGGAAGAAATGCTACTGCCTGGCAAAGAACTTGGTCCTAAGTGGGAGGAATGAACTGGCGTTTTTTTTCCTCTTCTCACTATCTCTCTATCCCCTTTTTTCTCTCCTCCTCCCTGTCACTTTCTCTCTATTCCCCTCTTTCCTTTCTTCCCTTCCTCCTTCTCTCCCTTTTAGTTTTAATTCAAAATCGGTGTCACTGTTAGTTTGTCTTTGACCCTGCACTGGAGCCTTATAGGTTAAGTCTCTACTCAAACATAAAAACAAAAACAAAGGGAAATCTATCTTCAGCTTGGAAAGGGGGTAAAGTCTGCTCCAGCGTGGCTGTGTGAGGGACACTGGCCACAGCTGAGTGACCTTTTCTTTAAGCGGCTTCCCCATCTCTGCCACCTCGGCCAGAGTTCCCAAGTCCCAGAGGAGATTGCCCCAAAGCCCGCTCCTGAGGCAGCTAGCAGCAATCTCCAGTGCGCCTGTGGGTGTCAGCGAGTTCAGAGTCTCCGAGGAGGATAACCCAGTGAGCAAGGCCAGCCCGGCACCTGCGGCTGGGCAGCCCAGGGCGGGGCGCGGAGGCAGAGCAAGGGGTGAGTGGGCCGGTCAGTCACCTGTACGGAGAGGCCGTCCCCCAGGAGAGATAGTCGGTGGGCCTCGGGGCAGGACGGGGCACGATGGGCTGCTCCACGGCAGTCACGTCTCCTGAGTAGGACTTGAGGAGGGAGGCGTTTTTGTTGGCCAGCATGGCTCTCTCATTCCTGCGGAACTTGGCTCTTCGGTTCTGAAACCACACCTGGGAGATGGGGGGAAGGGGAGAGGGCACCGAGAGGGGAGGGAAGCAGAGAAGGGGACAAGTGAAATGCAGGTAGGTTTTACCAAGTAGTGCCTTCCCAAACACAGGAGGGCAGGACTGCGCGCTCCCAGCCGGCCCAGGTCTGCAGCTCAGGCAGGACTGGGCGGCGGGACTGGGAAGTACTTCCAGGAAGCCAGCGCCAGGGTCGGGTCTGCAGCCTGTCCACAGGACTGCAAGGCATGGCGAGATCTGCTGGAATCGCAGTCGAGAAGAAGGGGGCCAGCCGGCGGTCTGGCGCTAAGGCGCTGGAACCCACATGGCCATTGATGGTGATTCGAGTCCGGACCAGGGCTTTAAAAAGCACACCAGACACGTGCGCTTGTGTGCCCAGACCCGGAGAGGAGAGTGGAAGGAAAGGGGTTGGTCATGGCCAGCCCCGCCCCCCCCACACCGGCCCCTGGTGGTGATTTCTCACTTTCATTCTCCCTCTCCCTCTGACTGGGGCACGCGCTCTCTAGACAATGGAGGAGAAGGGGCCTGGATGGCGGAGCAGCAGCCAGCACCAGGCTCTGTGGGGTAGGCCACCTGAAGGTGAGAGCTCCCACACACGTGCTCCCAGACCCCGCCTGGGTGGCCCTGCCTGGGATGCTGTGTCAGTGTGTGTCACTCATGCAATAAAGGAATAACCCTTAAAAAAAGAAACAGAACAAAAATCTTTTCAGACTTTCCCATATATACAATGACTTTTCTTAAAGTATTCAAAAAAAAATCTTCAAAGTGTGAAAACTTCATTGGTTTTCATAAGGCTTGTAAGATATTCAACAATGTCTCTGTCTCCTCAAACATAGGCCCTCTGTCACGAATTTAAGAAAATGGCCTATCTGAGAGGTGTGAGGAATAGTGCGAGGGGAGTGAGACGGGACAGAGAGAAGAGCAGCTGGGAGTGCTGCTAGCCCAGCGTCCTCTGCAGTTGCCCGAAGACCTGGACCCTGCAGGGTGGCACTGCCCAGCTCGCCTTCCTGGGGGCGAGGGCGCAGCTCCGGGGCTCTGGGGCAGTTGGTTTAGGAGCCATGCAAATCCAGAAAACTGCAGGGTAGGTATTTCAGGCGCTAATGCGAGACGTACAACAGGTGTGGGAGGAAGCACGTCCAGCCTGTGGAATGAGGCCACTGCACACCGCAAGGGGCGACACTCCGTAAGAGCCATGGGGCAGTTCTCAGGGGGCCACACCACATGGAGGGCCTGAGTGGAAACCGGCAAAGGTGGGGTCCGCAGGCCTCTCCCGGGGCTTCCCAGGCTCGCGGCCCTTGGGTTCCAACTGAGCCCTTGGAATATCCTAGACATAGATGCGACCTGCTTCATCACCACTCAGAGCAAAACAGAAAACTACTTCTGAAGTCGAACAGAGGCTGCCGAGGGCTTGGCTTCCTGCCCACCAGGAAGCTGCACCCAGGTCCTGCAGGGCTCCCGCCTCCTTCCCTGTCCCCGCCATTCTAACTCCTCCCTGGGCGCAGCGCTACCTGAAGAACCCGCGTGTGCTGGACAATTTCCAGCCTACATGTGTTCACACCAGGTGCCCCCTGGCCTGTGACAGTCTTCCCTTCACGGCTCAGGTGCCAAAGTCCATAGGGTTTTCCAGATTCAACTTTACCATCACCTCCTCTGTGGAGTGTGGGGGAAAGTCTAACAGAATCAGGTAAAACACTGGCTGCACCACTTCAGAGATTCTCCCCCGAGTCACACACAGTGTCTGCGCTGCTTTCATTCCCAGGCAATTGGAGATAATGCCCCCTGCCCCCAGGGGAGTTATGACCACTGGGACTTACTGAAGTGTGCTCTCTCCCTCCTCCCCAGGCACTCCTCTGCTGGTCTCTCACTACTGAGGTACATTCCCTCCATGTCCGAATCACACTACGAGGTCAGGACCGTGTGGTCTGGACATCTGTCTTGTCTGCCCTAGGCCATAACATGCTAAGGAGAGGGCCAGAGTCTTATTGGTCCCCAACAAGCCAAAAATAGAGTCGAGACTAAATAGATGCTTGATAAATGTTGGGAGGAAAAGATGGAGAGGGAAAAAAGAGGAGAAAAAAATGAGACAGATAAAACCTGGCCTCCTTCCAAGAGGACGTGACAGTCTATCAGGGGAGGCTGGCCCACACTCAGCTCGGTATAATTCGCATGTTACAGCACATGCCATAAAACCACGGAGCAGAGCCGGCGGGACTGGTTCAGACCAGGCAGGGGTGGACTTTGTGGAGGCAGAATGAAGCTGGGGAGGGGTGCTCTGTCCAGCCCCTGAGCAAGTGCTCACTGCTCTGGAAGGTGTCAGAATACGCTGGGACAGGAGAGGGGGAAGAGAAATCAGCTCCCCTGTGTGAGAAAGGCATGCGCTGTGAGGAGGGGCAAGACAGTCCCTGGACTCAGAGACTGTTCTGCACAGTTTTTCATTGCTACCATTGCTTTGCAGAGGTTTCCTTCCTTAAAATTCAGACCACCGTGGTCAAGGGGACTTGAAGGTGTTGAGGGTTACTGGTCTAATCACTTGTTGTACAGGATGAGGTCAGGGTACAAAGATGAGAACTGCAGGGTGGCGGGTACGGAGCTGTGGCGAGCAGCCTGGGGAGGGCGAGGCCCTGGGGTGGGGGCCAGGGGGCGCCGGTGAGCAGGGCTGAGGGCTGTCCCTGTGGGCAGTCTCTCTTGAGCCCTGAGTAACTCCCTGATGATCCATGGGGCATCGATGACAGCCTTTTGGTGCCTGACGTTTTAGTCGTGTCTTGGGGACCACTTTCAGATGGGCCCTGTTTCCCAAGTAGAAACCTCCCTCACACTTTCTCTTCAGGCTGAGGGCACTGCCCGGCTCCACACCCACCAACAAGTGGGTCTTATGCCCTGGCAGAGACCCTTGCTTGTAGCTAAGTCCCTGTGGGTCAAGAGGGGTGACATCTGCAAACCCAGACTAAATACACAGAATGCCTTTAGGAAGACCAGACAAATCTGACCCACTCCCTGTCCAAAAGCTGCCTGCCCCAGCAGTGCAGCGGACAGGGGGCTTTTCCCATGGAGCAGCAAAGCGCTCCTTGGGAAACCCCTTAGCGGGAGATACCTACTCAGTTCAAGGCCACTGTGTGGTAAATGCGTGAACTGTGGATCGGGGCGTCTGTGTTCAAACCCTGTCCCAGCCATTTCCTAGCTGTGTGAGGTGGTGCAAAACACTTTGACCTCTGTCTGGTGCCTAGGTCTCCTCAACTACAAGATGAAGAAAACTATCCACATCACTGACTTGGTGTGGCAGTTAAGTAGTTAGGCAGAGAGCAGTACTTGACACACGTGGGCTTGAGCACTGCTACTTACTATATTGTTACCATATTATTATTACTACTGGTTTACTGTCATATTCTAGTATTATTTTCTAGCGTCTGGCTTGCCATCAATGTGTCACAGAACTAATGTCAGAAAGAATTGCTATTAGCTCTTTTCCCTGCTTTATCGTATTTTTTCCACTCTGCACAGACCCTCTAAGGATAAATAAAATCAACTACTTGAATGTGGGCACACTCAGACCCTGAGTACCCCCGGGGGTGTCCGTAAGTGTTCATAACAAGTGTCTAGAAGGGCTGAGCATTCCTAAGGAAGGCCTGGGGAGGGAAGCTGAGGGAGCAGAGAGTTCATCTCTTGGGCCACCATAGAGCTCGAATTGAAAGCTGTGGGTGCAGAGTCTCATGCTCAGGTTGAATCTGGAAGGGTCAGAGGCAACAGAGAGGAGAGACCACCCCTGAAAGACCCAGCCTACCCACTCATGTGACTTTAAAAAGACTATGCAGAGCTAGAATCTGGGCACTGTCCTCATGTTGCCCCGGTCACCCTTAGTGGGGCAACTTAAGTTCTGAGGCAGCCTCGGCAGCCTTGGCCTGGCCCCCACATGTGAGTACCTGCACTCTGGCCTCAGTGAGGTTCACCCGGCGAGCCAGGTCCTCTCGCACAAAAGCATCGGGGTAGTGCGTCCGCTCAAAGACGCGCTCCAAAGCCTGCAGCTGGCTGCTGTTGAAGGTCGTCCTGTTCCTCCGCTGCTTTCTCTTCTTCTTCTCCTCTGAGTTCATCTGGTCATCTGGAATAGAGGACATGCATGACAAGGGCCAAATCACACTGGGCGGCAGCTGGCGCATCAGTACAAGTCTCCCATGAGCTATCGCCGCAATTGCTCGCCTTCATATCAGAGCGCACAGCAAAGAGCCAGGCTCCCTGGGAGCCATGGACCTGCAGCCGCTGGGACACAGGTTGTCGCTCCTAACTCCGGGGCCAGACCTGACCCATCAGAGACAGGATGCACATGCCCCTTGGAGCCTGAGTTTTCAAAAAGAGCTAGAGGAAAATGTCACTCCTGCCCGCATCCTGCAGACTGCTCTAGAGTCAGGGGAATGGGAACAGATTGCTTCATGTCTTATTACCTTGGACGGCCCTATGTTCATTCATTGAGTTTCATAACCAAGTAGACCAACTCTCTCCTGGCTCCTTCTCCACATGTACACCTGAACATAAGTGCAGGGTTATATAAGGAGAAGAAACCGTGTTCAAACCAAACAAGAGAGATTTCTTCCATGTAGTCTCCATGAAGCGGCAATTAATGCCTAGATACGCTTATTCCAGGGTCTATTCTGTTTCTAAGCAGGCTTTCAGGCCTCAGCCAGCACCAGCACCATTGGCCCGAACCAGCACCAGCCTGTAACTCACCCCATGAGAACTTGAGAGTGGGAACAGCATGAAGAGGTCCCCGAAACAGTTTCATTTAATCCTGATTCTAGGGCACTGAGATCTCCAGGACCTTCCAAAGGCTCATAGCCCCAAGTTTTCACCATCAAGATCCCCTCTTGGAGGACCAGCAGGTGGCACGATGGTTACATCTCTGGGTTCCCACATAGTTGATCATGGTTTGAGTCCTGGACCTGGCAGCTTAAAACTCATGCCAGGTGCATGTGCATGCATGCCCCAAATCCCAAGAGGATGATGGAGGAGAAGGGATTGCAGCGTGGCCAACCCCCCTGGGGGTGATTTCTAGCTTTCTGTCTCTCTGGTGAGTGCACATGCCCTATAGCAAAAAAATCTCTCTCAAAAAATAAAAATCCCCACTTGGTTTCCTCTGAGTTCCTCCAAAGGCACCAGAGGCCAGCTAATCACCTGCCTGCTGCCCCCAGTCAGCCCCCATTGGGAGAGGTGGGCTGTGGAACGGAGCGAGATGCTAGCCGAGCTAAGGCCAGCACCCTGAGGCCCGAGACTCTGCAGAGCTCACGCCCTCTTGGGAATGCACCGCACCAAGCTGCCACAGCCCACGGCCCAGTGTGTAGGCAAGGTCTGACGGACTGCACTTACACTTCCAGTAGCTTCTCCTCAGAGAGGCTCAGCCCAAAGACAAGTAGGTGGAGTTGGAGTGAGCCTGGGGAGAGTGAGCTTGACCTTCTGCTCCACCTTTAACAGAGAGGAGCTCTCAGGAGTATCTCGCATGTGAAATCTCCTGATTCTCCCTGACCATAAACCTACACACACAAAACTGCTAGCCGAATCATGATGCCCTCAGAATAGCAGCATCTACTTGATCCATGATAGTATTCTTACAAATTGAGGCATGTTCTACTGGAAGATAGAACATGCTTAAATCCCAAAGCTCCTTCCCAGATCTCTCAGGGCCTGAAAACCGAGGCCTCAGTCTTTTCCAAGAGACCCTGTGTTTGTCAATGCTGCCTCGCCAGCAAGCCAGTGACTTTCTGGCACTTTCTTTTCGGATGGCTTCCCTGAGTCCTCCCAACAACACGCTTCCTCTTGATAAGTAAAGCCCTGGAAGTACTAAGTGCTTGCTGAATTTGTTTTTAGGGAAAACATGAAGTGTCCCTTGTCCTTAGAAAACTTTCTGCACGACTCCTATGATTTCAACCAGATCCCTCCAGGCAAAGAAGCTGCCAGCAGCAACCGCTGTCTCAGGGCTGCGCTCTGTTGACCATCTCTTTGGTTTTTTATCTTGGTGGTGCCTCAGCTAGGAGCCTGCTTTGACGGCACTTCTGTGCCACCACAGGAAGAATGTCAGACCAGCTGCATTTGGGAACAACGCCAGCTTCATCACAGTTTCTAGGATCTACCAAAGCCGAGACCATTCCCAGTAACAGCGCCAATTAGACCTTGTTGGCTATTCGCAAAACTAGTTTACAATGATGTCTACACTAGAATTCAAACTCTTGGGAGCAAACTCCCTTCACCAGCTGTCTGGCATCTTTACTCTCCCTCTTATTTAAGAATTTGGAAGCATTCCCCTGGTTCCCATTCTTTTATCTAGACCCGTTGTCTACAGATCCGTATGCCTTGCCCTTCCGGTCTCTCCAGGTCATCAAGCTTCGTGACAGCACTTAACCTACATTCCATGCCCTCTTTAAACACAGGTCTACAGACCACCCTTAGCTTCCACACCTTCCCCAAACTGAGACCATTTAGACAGACCTTCAGCTGTTACTTTTAATCATATCAAGGCAATCCCTTAGTAAGCCAAATGTGTAACTTTTTCTTCTCTCAAAGAAAATTCTTTCTCAGGTATAATATAACCACAAATTCTAAATCCTTTATCCTCTTTGATAAGCATTTTTCTTCTTGTACTGCCAGACTCAGAATACTTCACGTTTCATTCTTAGCACGACGGCCTGCTACATAATCTTGCAGTAGTTCTCTGACGTCTTCCTCTGTTTGCTCAAATTCCTATGACTGTCCACCGTAACCACCAACTCCCCTGACGTGGGAGTAAGGGAAATGGAGAATTATAGTTTATGACAGGGAATAAATAGCTATGATGACCTGACACGATTCCAGCAAAAGTTTCCCAGTGAATGTTCTTGTTGTTTTTAACAAATGAAAACACCAGCCCAGATCATGTTGAAGGTGAGAAAAGCCACGCAAATCACGGGTCCGGGGAGTCTGGATCTGGCAAATGTCCTTCCAAGTGCAGGCATGATAGAAAGAGACAATGAGCCAGCGACAGAGATAGCCGGAGCGGCAGCCCTCTGGCCTGTCTGTCTTTGCTCACGAGTCACAGATGGCGAGCTCCCTGCTCTCCTCTGAGAGCACAGAACAGGACCCAGCAGGGTGTCTTCAGCAGCAGGGAAGGAGATGTAAACATGGTGAAGTTTACAAATGCAGGCATCTGAAGGACCTGTGATAAGCATGCTTAGCAGATTTGGGGCTCTGGTTGAATATAAGGGGAGTAGAGCAATCTTTTTATCATTGCAGAAAGAACATCTTTCTTAAAACAGCTGCAGCGAAGGCTGACTTGGAAACGGGTTGTCTAGGGGTGCTGACGCCCTGCTGGGTGTGAGGCTTGGCACTCTGCAGTGGGTGGGATGCACCAGCTGCAGGATAACCACGAGAGACCTGAGTGCATTTTATCGGAAGTCCAAGGTGTTGATGGATCTCGCAATTCTATTGAGATCTGAGTAAATTATAATGTGCAGTATTTCCACTCCTTTAAGAAAGACAAGCAAAATAGCCCTACAAACAGTCACTTCGCTTGGACTGAGTCATGAAATATTGGCATGAGTCATGAAAAGTTGGTAAGAAATCGTCTACTCCAATCCACTGACTTTACAAATGAGGTAGATGAGACCTGCAAGAGTAATATGACTTTCCTAAGTGCGAGTTAGGACTTATGGCTAGAGTCGGCACTCCAGCACTCCAAATCCCACCCCACTTACGTGCAAGCGACAGTACACCCACTGCGCAGGAGAGGGACAGTAACACGGCAGAGGCGCAGGCCAAAGCCACTCCCCAGGAAAACGCTCGGGAAAGACAGACCTTTCCACACTAGCTGTTACAGAGAGGGTCTAGGACAGGGTCCAGGTGCCATTTTGACTCAGACTTTCTTGCACTTTCTTTTCGGATGGCCTCCCTGAGTCCTGGCTTCACACCTCAGTGCGTGCAGGGCCACTGTAGCACGGGAGTATCCTGTGTTCCATCCTCCCCCACAACCACACTGGCATTTCTCTCTCACTCTTAGACAGGGTTCCGAGTGGCTGTTTTCCCAGCACATCCCGAGTCCACAGCCTCTATAAAACTCTACCGAGAGCTCCCACGCGCATGGACCTCGCCATCCTCTAGTATTTTGTCAATAGTATATCATGGGACCAGCAGTTAGCATAATGGCTATGTCACTGGACTCCCATGTAGTCGACCGCGGTTCGAGTCCCGGACCCGGTGGCTTAAACTCACGCCGGGCGCGTGTGCGTACGTGCCCAAGATCCCAAGAGGAGAATGGAGGAGAAGGGATTGCGGCGTGGCCATCCCCCCTGGGAGGTGATTTCCTGCTTTCTATCTCTCTGTCTCTCTCTGTCTGTCTGGCGAGCGCACGCGCCCTATAGCAAAAACCTCTCAAAAAAAAATAGTATATCATCAAGTACCTTTAGAAAATTATAGTTCTTTATCATATGTAACTGTTGTGTAACCTTAAAACACAGATATTCATACAGAAAAGAGATAAGGTCCCTTGATGATAAATTTAGTGCCAAAAAAGTTAACAGAGTCAGAGTAATATTGCAATAGAAAAGATGTTCCGAAATAGTCGAATCTTAGTGATTTGCCTGAAATTTTAAAGGATTGAATAATTTGTTCATTCCACTTACTCCTTTTAACATAATTATGTTAGTTATTTTTGTCTCTGGACAATTTGATCTGTGAAAGAAGATTTCTTAAAATGTAGCTTTTTCTTTCTGTCTTTTTTTTTTTCTTTTGCAATAGGGCATGTATGCTCACCAGAGAGAGACAGAGAGGGAGAGATGGAAAGTGAAAAGGCACCCCCCCACGGGGATGGCCGCACCAAAATCCCTTCTCTTCTATTTCTCCTCTGGAGATCTTGTGTACACAGCATGCTTCTCAAGCCACCACACCCGAGACTCAAACCACGCTGTTGGCCACGTGGGATCCAGCTGCCTTAACCACCACACCACTGGGGGCCCATATGTAGCTTTTTCAAATAGGTTCATCATCAGGTTTAGAAGAAAAGCTTTGAGGTTCAATTCCTCTGTAAATAAAAGAATTAGTCTTTCATTTTTATCTTACTAGAAAAGCAGCTCCCAGATGAAC